ATTCCTAGATTGAGTAAGTTGTAGTAGCTTTCAGGCTTCTTACATTACTGGTTTTATGACTTCTAATTTCATGAAATATAAGATGATAATGAAGAAATGAACTGTTAGTTATACCTGTCTTCTGATGTCAATGCAGTGAAGATTTCTCAGCTGATATTTGGTCACGTAATATTTTATTCTGCTTCTATTCTACAGCAAGTTGCTTCCCTTACATGAAGCAACAGTGACACTTAGTGCTAAAATCCTTGCATGCACCAGAAGCACCCTGCACTTCCCTATATTTCTTATCATTCACCGTTGTAATTTAAAATTTGTTCAGCTCTTGCAGGCTATCAGAAAAAGAACAGTCTACTATCCTGTAAAATAGTCTAAAAATTTCCTGTAGGTTTGTGTGTAAAAAGTTTTGCTTAGATTATGAAAAAGAAACCAAAGCTTATTTATGGTACTAACACCACTCCCTTTTTGAACAAGATCTTGAGTAGACTGAGTTTGTTTCGCAGTTCAGCAACTGTAAGTGGTGGTGCTTTGCGAGAAAAGAGTTTTCAGATAGAAGACCGAAAAAAATAGTAAGAATTTCTCCGTCTGCCTAAAAATACTGCAAATCTTTGCAGAACTTTGAAGACCTACTTGATTGAAACAGCTAGATGACTAGACACAAATATTTAAGTAATAAAGATATTTGAAAACAATCAGGATGTGGATAGAAGTTGCCTCTGGACACAGCTGGTGAGGTCCTGTCGTGCCCTGCCTGTCCCATGGGCCCTCTGTCATCCCTGGTGGCCTGGCCCTCATGGCACTCTGACAGCATCATTGCCTTGGAACTTGCCTACTTAAGGTGATAAAAATTTTATACATGTGGCAACTTCAGAAATATTATAATTTCTGAATACACATTATGTCTGCTAGCAGTGGCCCAGCTGTATAAAGCATTTAATTCTGAGATATCAGTGGCATAAAACAACTGGGAGTAACAATCTCCTTTTTTTTTTATATCCTTTTATGACCAGGTGACCCATCTAGTGGATGAGGGGAAGGCTGTGGATGGGGTCTACCTGAACTTCAGCAAAGCCTTTGACACCATCTCCCTGGAAAAGCTGGCAGCTATGGCCTGGACAGGTGCACTCTTGGCTGGGTTAGGAACTGGCTGATTGCTGGGCTCAGAGTGGTGGTGAACGGTGCTGCATCCAGTTGGCATCCAGTCACTTGTGGTGTCCCCCAGGGATCAGTGTTGGGCTCAGTTCTGTTTAATATCTTTACTGATGATCTGAATGAGGGGATTTAGTCTATCACTAGCAAGCTGGCAGATGACACCAAGTTGGGTCAAAGTATTGATCTCCTGGAGGGTAGGAATGCTCTGGAGAGGGATCTGGACAGGCTGGATCCATCGGCCAAGAACAATTATATGAGGCTCAACAAGGCCAAATGTTGGGTCCTGCCCTTGCATCACAACAACCCCCTGCAGCACTACAGGCGGGGGGAAGAGTGGCTGGAGAGCTGCTCAGTAGAAAAGGACCTGATTGAAAAGCTGCTGCTTGGCAGCAGCTGAACATAAGCCAGAGTGTGCCCAGGTGGACAAGAAGGCCAAGGGCACTCTGGCTTGGATCAGAAATAGTGTGGAAGCAGGACCAGGGAAGTGACTGTTCCCCTGTGCTGGGCACTGGTGAGGCTGCCCCTTGAGTGCTGTGTCCAGTTCTGGATCTCCCATTTCAGTAAGGACATTGAGGTGCTGGAATGAGTCCAGAGAAAAGCAACAAAGTTGGGGAAGGGTCTGGAGCACATGTCCAGTGAGGAGTGGCTGAGGGAGCTGGAGAAAGGACACTCAGGGGTGACCTTATCACTCTCTACAACTACCTGAAAGGAGGTTGACCTCTTCTGCCACACAAAAAGTGACAGGATGAGAGGAAGTCTTAAGTTGCACTGAGGGATGTTTAGGTTGGACATGAGGAAGAATTTCTTCACAGAAAACATGACTAGACATTGGAATGGGCTGCCCAGGGAGTTGGTGGAGTCACTATTCCTGGAGATGCTCAAGAAAAGACTGGATGGGGCACCCAGTGCCATGGTCTAGATGACATGGTGGTGTTGAGTCACAGGTTGTACTTAATGATCTCAAGAGGTCTTTTCCAACCTGGTTGATTCTATGATTCTGTGATTGTGTAATCTACTTGGAGGGAAAATAAACACACCACACATATTTATGGGAAACAGATTTGTTGTGTTTTGACCCTGGCTGGCAACTAAGCACCACACCATAGCCATCCACTCACTCCCTCCCACCCCCCCACCTCGACAGGAAGGGGAAGGAACAGAAGTATAAAAGTGAGAAACAAACTCATGGGTTGAGGTAACAACAGTTTGATATTTTAAAAATAGTAATAGTAATGATTAATTGCAAGAAAAAGAAAAAGAAAGAGAAAGAATTAAAACTCAAGAAAGACAAGTGATACAAATGAAAAAAAAAAGAACAGCTGCGGTTAAATCCTGACAGTTGTTTTTGATACCCAGTGTAGGGCATGAAGAGTTGAGATAACAACAGGTTTGACTGAAATGTGCTAGATCGTGTGCAGAGGCTATTGCTGTTTAACTAACAATTGCCAGGCTCCTGTGCTTGCCACTAGGCTTGCTTTCCTGACTGTCTTTTGGAGTCTAGTGCTCATTAATGGCTGCTTTTTGTTTTCACTGCTCCCTGCACTGCTCATCTCCTCACTGTGTTGTGCCTGGGAACACTTTGGTGACAGCCACGGTGAAGCCCCTGGGCTGGCAGGTGGCCAGCGTATTGCTGCTGCTCCTGTTATGCTGTACTGGACAGGCTGGAACTCCAGTGTGAACTTGAGTTGAAGGAACCTGCGGATGAGTTCATGGTAGTGCAGAGATCCACCTACAGCCCATGGAGGACTCCACACTGGAGCAACTGGATGCCCAAAGGCAGATGTGACCCCATCAGAAGCCTGTTCTGGAGCAGGCTTTTTGCAGGATCTGTGGACCCATAGAAGAGACCCACCCTGGAGGAGTTCATGAAGAACTGCAGCCTGTGTGGGAAGGACCCACACTAGAGAAGTTCAAGGAGGCCAGCATTTATTCTGAATGCTGTTTGGTTTGAATGTTTGCCCTTACTGAAATAAATTTTTGCAATCTGAGGGAGCGTGTGAGTTGACACAGGCTGGGACAATCACAACCCCATGGCTAAGACACAAAGAGTAAATTTATGTCCCTCACTTCGCTAACCACGGGATCCCTGAAGCAACACTCGGGCTACACAAGTGGAGAGCAGGCACTGTTAAACTTGGCTTGTGTAAGAGGATTACTGTTCACACAGTCTCATCAAGGGTTACTTCCAGCTGCAAGGTGACTTGATTCTCCTCAACAGTCTTCTGCTTTTCAACCCATCCTCCTAACAGGGAGGAAAAGACCTTCCCAAAATTTGCTGCAGTTCATAATGACAGACCTCATTAAATTATAAATCCAGATAAAATATTCTATTGCTCTACTTTTATCCAAAGGTATGTTTAGTATTTTTCTCACAGGAAACATACTGAGTTGCTGAAGACTAATAAAAGAAGTAACAAACAAAAATAACGGCAGCATGGGTATTTTAATCCTAACATAACTCATCCCTAGGCAAAAGGTCAAAAGATGTGCTACATGATATCATGCATTTTTTCTCCTGCCCTTTGTTATTTAATATTATTACTGCATCATATATAAGTTGCCTTCTCCTTCCCTATACACCTTTTACTAAAGACAAAATTGCATGTATATTTAAACCTATATATCTAAGTCAAGTTATGTCAATAGTTTAGAACTGAATGCTGAAACAAATTGGTTTTGCGAGGCATTAAGCAGAGTCTTAATTAAATCATTGCAGCCCAGATTCCAAAGATTTACACACTCTGGGCAGCCGCATCGAGGTTCAATATAGTGCAGTTAGAGGTGAGCATCCTCAGGAGCAGGGCATATGAGGACAGAGGTCCCATACGAGCCCCGGTTCTGGCTGGACAATGAACTAAAACAACAAAAACCAGGTATTTGCTGTAGTGTGTTGGCAGGAAGATGGTGTTGACAGAAGAAAATTTGGAGGACTGCTCTTGGTGGTCTCTAAGGTTGTGTTGCTCTGCTGCTGCAAAACTGCAGCCACTGTGCTGCATATAATCCGACACCAGTGTGCAGATGTGCGTAGATATATACATATGTATGTATACCCTCAAATACATAAATATATATATGTATATACACATATGTGTATACACACACACACACACATATATACATACACATTGCGAAGAGCTACTGGAGAGAGTTCAGTGGAGGCCACAAAGATGATGAGGGGTCAGGAACATCTCGTTTGTGATAAGAGATGTAGCAGCTGGGCCTGTTAAGCTTAGAGAAGACTGAGAGGGTGTCTCATTAACGCATATAAATATCTCAAAGGTGGGTGCCAAGAGGATAGCGGCCTCCAGCGACAGGACGAGGAGCAGTGGCCATAAACTAAAATACAAGAAGTTCCACCTCAATATGAGGAAGAACTTCTTTACACTGGGTGCCAGAGCACTGGAACAGGCTGCCAAGGGAGGTCGCGGATTCTCCCTTTCTATAAACATTCCAAACTCACTTGGATGCTTTCCTGTGGCACATGCTCCCGGTGCTCCTGCCTTGGTGATCTCCAGAGCTGCCTCCCAACCCTAACGATCCTGTGATAATACACACATATATATTAGATGCGTATGTGCCCTATCCAGTCCGTATTTAGAGGCACAGCGAGTGCATTTAAACGACGCCCGTACCCTCACAGAGGCACACGGCGGATGCCCACCCGCACCCAGCTCACGACGAAATCCTCCTGCGGCTCCATGGCGGCCGCTGGCGGCAACACCACCAGCCCGCGTAGGACCGCCCTCCCGTCGCCGGGTGAGGTCAGGGAGCGGTAGCGGAAGCTTTTCCCTCCTCTCTTCCTCCCTCCCTGCCGGCGTCCCGGAACCAGCCCTGCCGCCTCCTGCCCTGGCCCGCCGGCAGCATGTCAGCGCCCGGCGCCGCCTCCCGCAGGTGACACCCGCCCTTCCGCCGCCCCCGCCTGCCCTCCTATATGGGCCACCTGCTCTCGAAGGAGGCAAGGAGCCTAAGCCGGGACCGCCGCCGCCCGCGGGGGAAGGTGCCGCCGCGCAGCCGGAGCTGCTTCCTGCGCGGGCCCTGCATGCTCTGCTTCATCGTGCACGGCGCCAGCCCGCCTGCCCCGGAGCAGCCGCTGCCCGCCGGGGACCCGCTGCTGCCGCCGCCGCCGCCGCCCTACGTGTCTCTGACCGCCGCAGAGCAGCGCGTCGCCCGCCGCCTCCTCCGCCTGGCGCCTGCCGCCTGGGAGCCGCCGGGCCGCTGCCAGCGCCTCTTCCTCTCCGGCCTGCTGCCCTCGCCGGTGCGGGGCCTCCTGGGGCCTCCCGGCGAGGCATCCGCCGAGATGGTGTGCAAGCGCAAGGGGGCCGGGCTGCCCGCCTGCCCGCCCTGCAAACAGCCGCGCTGCGCCGCCGCCGAGCCCGAGCCCGGCGCCTGCCAGTGCCCGGCGGAGCCGCAGCTGCTCGCCCTGCCCGGCGCCGCGGGGGAGAGCGGCGGGGGCAGCGCCGGGCAGGGCGGCGGAGGACAGCCTGCCTCGCCGCCGCCCCCCGCGCCCCTGGAGAACAAGGAGCAGGGCACGGCGGAGGAGAAGGAGAGAGGGGGCGAGACGGGCTGCGAGGAGCCGCTGGAGCACCCGGGTGCCAGCTGCCGGGAGCCGCTGCCGCCGCCCACCCCGGACATCAACCAGCTGCCGCCCTCCATCCTCCTCAAGGTGGGTCGGGGCGGGAGGGAGAACGGGCAAAGCCCCTCCCTGAGGATTTGGGAAGGGGCTGTTCTTACCCCTGGGGTGTCCGTCCCCAGCGAGCTCAAGGTGGAGCCGCAGGCCCTGTCCGGAGGGGTCTCAGCGCCCAGCTTTGGGGGGCTATGTAGGGTTGTCTGGTTGTCTGTCTGTTTTTGGTTTTGTTTGTGTCTCGTCGTCCCCCCCCCCCCTTTTTGTTTGTCGTTGTAAACGGCCTCGAGAGCCATTACCTGGAGGTGCAGACACACAAATCTGCTCCAAAAGCTGTCCCGTAGATATTTTGACCGTACCTGTTAACTTCGTAATGTGCCCTTCACGAGTTGCCTTTTACTCAAGTCACTGATGGAGTACTCAGAAGGGGGTCTGGCACTATATTTAGTGCTTCTTTGTGGGTTGGAGCTACATAGACAAGTTTGCAATGTTGATTGGGAAAAAGTTGGTATTACTGTGTGTTTTGAATCAGTTTTGGCTTTACTGGATTCACAATCAGTCTGAAACTTTGTAGCCCTCGAATTACATGCTTCAATAACTTCTTAGGCTGTATAATCAAAGAATGACCTCACCTTCGTTCCTATCCCTTCTTTCCTGTCCCTTTTGCTGTCTTTAGGTTCCTTTAGTTCTGTTTTTAAGAACGATTTGCCATTTTTAAGCTATTCTATTGATCACTACGTTGACTGCTTGCAGCTAAACATTAGCTAAAAAGACGAGTCAAGCCCTTGATGTTTTCCGTAGTTTGATGCTAGTTTGTCTTTAAATTTAGGGGAATAAGGTTTCAGGATTACAGGAAATAATGTTTCAGGATTACAGGAGTTTACTCCGAGGTCAGATGGCTAAATTTAAAGCAGGGCATGATAATGCAGGAGTGTGAGACAGATGACTCTTACTGTTCTTTGTATTTTGTTAGTTGTGCATCCAATGTAGAAAGTACTTCCTTTACTCTTTTGTTGTCAAACAATAGCAGCCTGCTTATCTATCTGTCTCGCACATAGAAGTAATTCTGTACAAGGTTTGGCTGGTTTGAGTTTTTGTTATTGTGTTGTTTTTTGTTGATTTTGGATTTTTTTTCAAGTACACATGACTGTTACTAAGTATGTCGTGTTTCATAGATGCACTATGCAAATTAATTTTAGGTAAATACTTAAATACTTAAGACTTATGAGCTATCTTATCTGAATTAATCTCTCCTGTTATTGCAGAACTGAAAGTTTGTCTTGTAGTTCTTTTAGAAAAGAATCCATCCGTTTGCCAGTGTTATTGGAAGATAATTTTTTCTTTGATGTTCAGTTGTTTTAGGATTTGAAACGGGACTGACTTGTTTAGTATGGCTTAAACACTGTTTGATCAATGATACGACTACTTCTCTGTGGTTACTTTAGTACTCAGTTTCACTTTTTCAAAAATATCAGTCTGTAACTCTGCCATAAATCAGTTCTTTTAATAGTGAAAGATGTCATGTCCATCTCACCTGTGGACTAGTTTAAATGTTATTTAAACTCTCTCCTGTTTTGTCTGTACTTTCAAAATTTGGTTAATTTATTATTTTTTTTTTTTTACAAATCAAGTGTTTTTTAATCCCAGCTGACCACTAAGTACCAGGCAGCCACCCACGACAGCCACACACCACCTTGTCGCCTTTCCCCTTGGTGGGGAGGAGAATTGAGGAGGGGGAAAAAGTATACCTTGTGGGTTGAGATAAGAAGAGTTTAATAACTGAAACAAAATAAAATGTAGTATTACCATTAACAATATTAGTATTTGTAAGGAAAAGGAGAGAGAGAAAGAAATAACACTGAGAGGACCAGGTGCTGCCCAAACATTTGCTCTGCTACAAAGCATTGTACCAGGTACTAAGAACTCTACCCTAGCTGAAATCGGGACAGACATCTACCTCCCCCAATGATTTTGTCTCTTTAGTTGCCCTGTATTACAGCTCCTTCTGCAATGTTTTTGAAAAGGCAGGCTGTTAATTCCAGTATCTGGAGTCAATCTCTTCACCTGTTTGTTTTGTTTGTGGTTTTTTTGTCACCATGTCCCTCTCCCCCCAATTTGCTCTTCAATCCCTAGCTGTAGTTATGTATTAGGTTGGTTGCTTTGGTTTTTTGAGGAGTCTATCTGTTTGTCTATCTATATCTCTTTCTATATGTCTGCTTCTTAACTACTCTAATGTTCGACTTTGTTTGGCCGCTTCCGTAACATACTATCTGCTATGGAACTTTTAACTCAAGATTTCTAACCAGGTGTCTTTTTAAGTGGATTATGCAGATGCCTAAAGGCCTTCATATGATGGATTTTGATACAGATAGGATTAGATTTAGGATATTCTTTCTCCAGAGGTGTCATTTGTTACGAGAGCATGGGAGACAAATATACGCAAAATCTTTACTAAACTTTTCACAGTAGGTAGTAGAGACACAATACAAGGACAAGAGAGTCCATCCTCAGAAGTCTCAGGAGGCACATCCTGCTGGGTTTTTTTGTTTGCTTCCCTTGATTCCCATCTCTGCCACCTCCTGATGCAGTGGTGCTAGTGCAGGAGTGGTTGTCACCTGTGTCAGTATATGTGGCCTCGAGATAAGCCTAAAGAAGCACTGCAGGAACTCCTAAGGAATAGCTGTCCACTTTGTCCACTCAGGTGCTGTTTTGTTGTTAAGCAGTGGTTAAGGCTTCTGTAAGATTACAGGCTGGGTAGAAAGGTTTTTTTGAGACTGAACATGGCCTGCAGATCATCAGATGGGCCCTGCTGAATTGGAAAGTTCATAGTGCAGTGTGCCAGTTAATCCTGTTTCTCTGACTGGTGAAGAAGTATCCTGGTCAATATGAAGTGATAAAAGAATTGCAGTTCCACAAATCAAACAAGCTTATGGATTTTGCCTGCTGAAACATGTATAAGAAAAAAAAGTGTTAAACAGTGGGCAAAATTTCATCTTTAATCTTTGTAGAAGAGGGTGATTACCTTTGATTAAAGGGTACTTTAAATCTATTCTCTTTAAAACTTGAAGGGAATTAAGAAATTATAGATCTGTCAACTTGACTGTAATCTAGATGTGTGAATAAAAAAAAGGAGCTCTATCTGCAGTGCAGAAGTTGACAAAATCTTGTGCTACAAATCACTAATTCTTGAAAACTTTGTGCTATATGTCACAAATCCGTGTCTATTGTGGTTTCACTGTTATTTATTTCTGGGAAACAGAAATTAAAAAGAAAAAGAAAGGAATCTTCCTGTTGTATGTGTTACCTCTTTGCAGTGCTGCTGTTTCATCAAGAGTTAATTGGTATAAAATGGTCTGCAAGTTGAGTCGTGAAATTACAAGAGAATGTCAATTCAAACACTTCAGATTTCCTCTTGAGCTGTATTACCAGGAATTGTGCAAGTAACAGGAAACTCTGTGCTGTGCTTGGTGCTTTTAAAACCTCTGCAAGAGTACTGCATTAGGCTGTGGGTACTGGGATCTTCTTAGAAACCCCCAGACAAATGAAAGAGGCATCAGCGAAGAGCCAAAGGTCGTGAAAACATGGCCATGTTATGGTAGTTGGAAGATTCTGGTCAAACTGAATGACACTTCTTCAGAAAGAAGACTAAGATGCAGTCTTTAGGTAAGAGAAAATTGGGAAGTTCAACTGTGTTCCTGTCCCTTGTCAAATAAAAGGAAACAATAAGCTGTATTTTGGTGAGATACTTCGAAAACAACACAGTGTGAGAACATTTAACTCTTGGCAAAGGTGGTGTCCCGTCTCTATGGTTATGTAAGGAGTTGGAATTTTTGTTTATTAATTCTTGTTTTAACAACAAGTGGAGTGTCCTCATCTGGGATGTTTGGGGTGTACTCTTGAACTTGCTTCAGAACAAGAAGGGTCTAGAGGAGATGCTGTTGTCTTCTTGATGTCTTCTTTCTCAGTTTGCTGCTCTTTCTCTAGCAATACTTAACACAGCAGTGTGGCCTGTTTTGGTTTTGTTTTGGTTTCTTTTTGACTTTTTGTTTGTTTGTTTTCCTATGAAGCTTAGTGTCCAGCTGTGATTGTGGCACGGAAATGAACCAGTCTTAGATTCACTGTGCTGTTGCTAAGCTTCTGGAATGCAGTTGAGGGGCAGAATTGTGAACGAAAGGTGTGCCAGTAGATTAGTAACTAAAGAGAAGATAGTATGTGGACATTATGTCAGTGATAAAGTTCTCAAAGATGTCCTGATAAGGTTATTATGATTTGTTGCAGGATTATTAACAATTATTTTGCTTTCTAGAGCTGTGTGTGAGAAGGTAAGGTGGCTTTTGTGTAAGCATGTAGGTTTTAATAGTACAGGGTGAGCTATGTGATGGGAGAGACAAATGTCTTGGAATGAAATTTCTGCTTTTCCTGATGGCACGATAAATACCTTGACACTCATGGACAGTGAAACTTTTCCTAATGTTGTTAAGGTGTTGGCTTGACTTGCTCTGCATCCCCAAAACTATGTATTATTGCATGGAGAAAGGAAGAAGATTACAAGTTGTACAGTGTTAGAATGCAAAGTAAATTAAATTTTACTGCTACTTTCATTCCCTATTAATTTATTTGTTTCTTTTGTTCAGGTTGCTTGACCTGTGTTTGATCTTTCCCAGATTTTGATATGTTTTTAAAGTGGTAGGGTGATTCAGAAGCAGTACTGATGTCTTTAGTGAGGACAGCTAGATAGTTGGGAGTAAGAACACAGTCAGCCCCTTCAAGTAAAGATATTCTTCTTATTCGTCAGAACCCATTTCTTTCCATTAGGAGGAAAGGTATGGTGTCAGCATCCTCTGTCATTTCTTACAGACAGAACCTAAAGTGGTATTTTGCCTTGCAGCTAAGGCAATCTGTTTGTTAGTAAGTGGCTGGTAAGGGCAGTATCTGTCTCCCTTTTGTAACCTCTGGCTGCACTTTCCTGCTGCTGGCCTTGTTTTCTGCCGAGTGGTCAGGCAGAGTGAGTTCAGATGGCTAATCTGACAGCAATCTGACAG